TAAAAATAATTTTTTAGTTAGTAAAAAATCCCCATTGTTTAAAAAATTTTTAAAAAAAAAAAAAAAAAAAAAAAACAGAACTCGATTCTTCTTCTAAACTACTGTTACTCAATTTATTTATCTTTCTAGACATAAATCATTATCTTGATTACATAACTGACTAAACTACTCTCTACGATTGTACAATATAAATAAATCTTGTTATAAACTCATTCTTCTTGTCAATCAATTGTCAAATTAGTAATCGGTTTTTATTTAAAAAAAAGAAAACTGTATCTAGTAATTAATTACTTGTGCTACTGATATTCCACATTGATGTGCTAATTCTTCTTTTGTTGCTTCGGATGGATATGGATTTGATAAATGTGAATAAAAATATTCATTAAGTGTTTCAATAGCTAATTTACTAAAATTTCGTCGTTTTTTCCTAGAAAATAAATATAAATAAATTTCAAATAAAATTATTTTTTTAAACCTTGCATCAAGTGATCTTGAACGTAAAATCATAGCAGCTTCACATGTACTTTGTTTAAGTTGTAATTGTATAATTGAAAATTTTTTTCTTATAATTTTAATCATACGTTCAATTTCATGTTCACTTATTGGTCGTAGTTGTGATTGTTCACGTAAAAGTGTTTCTGTATGTAAACAAAAATCATTACAATGATTTTCATATTTTTCTAATTCAGAATTATAAATTTGTCGTATTTGATTTAATTTTGTTTGATAATCCGTAAAATCAAACGAATTATTTTGATCAAAATTTTTTGTTAAAGATAAATTTGTTGATGAACACCGTTCAGATATTCCTTCAGCAATAAGCATATTATCAACACGCATTAATTTTTCAGTTGTTTGATCATCAGTATTTGATATTAGTTGAGTATTAATTGCTACAAACAATGAATATTTTCGGTTTAAATAAGAAAAACGAAAGATTCATATATTTTCAACAGTAAAGGAATTTTTATTTTTATAACAATTGTGTTTATTTTCATATGAATAGTTGTTTTATTTTTTCGAGTCAAAAAAAGGAAAAACAAAATTTTTATATGAAAAAAAAAATTGAATTAAAAAGATTATTCGATTACGCTTTTTACTCTCACCTGTTTTATTTTTTACTTCACAAAGGACTTGATAAAAAGCAGATTGCATTGAATTTTTATGAAACATATTTTTACATTGCGGAGCATTATCAAGACGTTCATTAATTACAGACATAAAACGATCAATTAAATCATTAATATTAATATTTGAATTATTATTTATTGTTCTTATTTGATGTTTATTCGATGAGTAACCATCGAGAACTTCATATATAGACTTATTGTCTACGTTTTGTTCATCTGTCATTAAACTCATCTAAATAAAATATAATAAACAAATAAGAATGAACGAAAGAAAGAAAGAAAGAAAAAAAGCATAAATTGTTATTGGTTATCATAAATCATCAATAGTATGAATTCAAACTAGTGACATCTAAATTTAATATGGCAATTATTTCAAGAATGTAGAACACAAGTACTTCTTCTTTTTCTGTATTCTGATCTGAATTTCTAGGCATTGATGTCAATCTTTTTCTTTGTTTTGAATATTTTTCTTGTCAAACTTAATAGAAAAAAAAACCCTGGCATTGATTCCAATAAATTTGTTTATTGACATAACTTTCAGCAGGTCGATAAAGATTAAATTACAGATGATATACAAATGATATATATTTCCATAAAAGATACAATTCTGTAAGAATGTTGACGAACAAGATTTATTTTCATGCAATATGGTTGTTAATAAATTTTTTCTGCTATTTTGACATGGTACTTTGTTTTTTTTTAATCTTAAAGAGAATTTTTCTGGTTTTTGCTTTACTGATACATTTAGTTGATAAAATTATAGAGAGAAAACAAGAATGTCGTAAAATATAAGATTAGATTAGGATCGAACAGATTACGGTTGAATCTTATCGGCTAAACGTCGAAATCTTATCAATGCTTCAGCAAGATATATAAGACACGCAGCAAAACCAAATGTCTAAAAACAAAATTTCCATAAGAATAAATTTGGTTTTATTTTCATAAGAAGATACTTACAGCTGCAGCGGCTGCTGAACCAGTTTGTGGTCTTACAGTACCATTTGGTGTAACAATAATTTGATTATTTAAATATGTGCGTGCTAATCGTTTTCTTAATTTGTCTTCCCAACACTAAATGATAACAAAAAGAAGAAGAAAAAAAAACGTTAAATTTCTATTTTGTTTTATGTTCTTTCTACTTCTTTTTTTTTCTACTCACAGCAACAACAACTGACACGCCAAATAGAGCAAATGCATAGATAGTACATAAGAAAGCTACCTAAAAATGACAAATGCCTTTTAATGAGAGATAAAAACTAATCGAATTTTTTACTCCAATCGACAGTCGATGCCATGAATATCGATAACGAAAACCAAATATAATATGAGCAAGAAATGAAAATAATGTTAAACCAAATATAATTATTAAAATAGCTTGATCAGCTTGTTTGATTGTATAAACATCGATATCATAAAATGCTGTGGAGTCAGTATCATGCTGAAAAACGATAAATGATATGATTGACATATAAGAATGCGCATATCAGTCAAGCCTTTTCATCTAATTTTCTTTTGTACACTTACTGTCTGAGTTATATTATATTTAATGATGTTAGCATAAGAATCGACAAGTTGAGCATAACCAGTTGATGCCATGCATACGGCGATAAAACCACCAGCAAGTAATGTCTATTCATAATAAACAGATTAAGATTAGATTCAATTTATCTACATAAAGATCAAAAAAATGATCTATTTGTTATATACTAACCAATTCGATGAGATTGGCACAGCCGAGCAGCGAAACAACATAATTTTTATCAACCATATTATTAATTTAAATAAAGAAAAAAAGATAAATTTTTAATGATGTTTGTATATTAACACTTGGAAAAACATATATAATATCTAATAGCAAATAGAAAAAATTTTGAATTAATATGACAATCAGATATAATTCATACAGAGTTTGTCTGGCAAAATTCAATCGTGGTATAAGAATATCATCAAACGATAAGCAATATGAATAGTATCCCGTTTTTTTTTGTACTTATAACATTTTCTCACTCTTTCTTTTGCTCAAAAAGATGTAAATTATGCTGCCTATCAAAGAGATGTAAATGCGCATAGATAGAAGAAACAAAAAAAAAAAGAGAAAAGAAAAAGAAGCAGAAGAAGGGGCAAAAAAAAGATGTTCGTCAAGAAAACGAGGACAAGACAGAACACCGGAAACTCATTATCTTATGGATCAAAAAAAAGGGAAACAGCACCCTGAAAGTGTTGACTGTTGCTATGCTTGATAGATAATAAAATACGTCAAATTAACCATAATTTTTTAAAACATACATTTAAAGTTATAAAATAATGTTTTTAAAGATTAGAAGAAATCGACTTGACCATTGTGTTTTCTACTAGACATTTTAATTATTTGTATTTCTTCTCAATATCGAAATTTCCTCTATAAATTGAAGTGATTCCATTGTATGTAGTTTGTTGTATATTACATTCCGTATCTTCTTTTGTTGTCTACAATGATGAAAGAAAAAAAAATTGTCGAACTTATTATATTCTTTAACACAACATTATTCAACGTGCTATTCAGTTCATTGCATTTTGCAACCGTTAGCTAGACGGTTATGATAAGGAAATTAATATATGTATATCTATAAAGAAATTGAGAGCGAGTTAAGAGATTCCCAAGGTTATTCTTTTTTTTTTTGTTCTAATTTTCTGTGTCAATAATCTTTCATGTTAGTGTTGTTTTCAAATGCATTGATACATCTGTCAACATTCATATAAGTTTTCTTTTTCTTTAAATTTAGAATAATAAGAAAGAATAGAAACAGAAATCTTAGACAAAAAATAGAAAACATGTTCATGCGTTCGTCAAAGGTATAGATCAGTTAAGTGCCAATGACGCAGTTATATATAGAAAACCCCCGGGGCTCTCTCAAGTACTATTAGTGATAAGTATAGCATTTTGTTCCAAAGGCGAAAACGAGGCACAAAATCTTGTCTATAATTCGATAGGCATTATTGATCTTTCTCTAATTTACACTTAACATGTTCATAGTATTTTCTCAAAAGAATATTTCCAATCTTTTTAAAGAAACCTAGGAATTTGTTTAAAGAAAAAGAAAGAAAGAGGAAAAGTTAATATGTAAACATGAGTCTTGCATTGAATTTATGTATTCTTAGGATTGTAGGTGTAAATAAATTTAATTAAATAGGAGAAAAGAGTTTTGAAAATACTAATAATTGCATTTTCTTAGTGAGAGCAAACAAAAATTATTTTTTCTATCCACTTGGGTTTATACTTTATTTTGACAACTGTCAGCACAGAAGTGCTGCATTTAGCTTTTAGCATATGTTTAACTAGTCTATTGTTATGTGTAGATTTATATTCTTTACACGTTCTATATCATGCTTAAGAGACTGTCAATGGACTATGACGATGTCATGAAAAATTGTATAAATTTGATTTCCTTAGTAGTTTATATCTAAGTTTAAACTATGGAAAATTACTTTATTGTAGAGAAATGGTTATTTTTAAAGTTAACATGAAGAAATAAAAATGGATTGTTGGCCAAATACAAATAAATAATGGCATTATGGCGGATTAATTTTTTTACTTTTGAGAATACGCTCTCGAATATTTTTATGAATAATATAGATCCATGCATTATTAAATTTTTATGCCTAATACATAAAGTTTTTTATTGAACAATAAAAATAGTTTTTTCATCAAGTTAGATTATACTACTTAACCCATAGTCAATAATGGAAAGTAACAATAAAGCTATCAATTTCAATCTGATCATGGATAAAGTATTTGAACTTTGATGTTTCCAGTATTATAGTTTTTATTATTAATATAAAAAAAAAGGTTCTAATATTGTTGGTGAAGAACTGTACTGATGACATGGATGTTTTTACAAAATGATTAAAAAAAAAATGATGTGATTTATATAGTTCAATAAATTTTCATATAGAACACGTCTTTATGTTGTTAGCAACTTGAACTCTGCTTATATTCAGCGGTATTTCAGCATTTCACGCTATAAATTGCCAATTAATAGAATTAATTGATGATTTTTTTAAAGATGAATTTAGTTTTTATTTTCCACTATTTGTAATGTACGTCAGCATCGAGCTTATCAAATCTTCAAGTTGGCATATAATAAGTAGATTAAATAAAAATTATTTCAAATTTAATAACTCTGTCAAACACATATGATGCATACAAAAGTACCATATATTAAAACTTATACTAATAATTTGCTACTTGTATTACGCTGCTTTATGTCAAATTTCCACACATTTTTGTATCAATAAAAACATTCTTATCACCTATAACTTTAATGAAAAGATGTAAATTTTCTATTTTATGAGTTGACTATGCTGCATTTATTGGCAAAAAAAAAGAAATGTGCTAATATTTTTTTTAATATCAAAATAGAAAGAACTATGAAACATGTAGCATATATATATATATGAGCGAATTGCAACTTTTTGGTACGATTGATGCAAAGAATTGAAAGTAGATCTAAACAATGTCTGAGCAGTGCCTTTTATTAGGCTTTATGCCTATGTTACACAGCAAAGAGTTTCCCAACACTTTGCCACATATTAGCTGAGATTCGATATATTTTAATGAAAACGTACTATAAAAGCCATTGTTTTAATTAAAAATGTCCTTCTACAGCTCATGATGTAATGTAAATATCTCAAACATGATAAGAGATTGGAGGCTGAATTTTTTACTGGGCATAGAACTCTGAGAAGTATATCTACAGTAAAAGTTTGAACGAAAAAAAAAACGAGCCGTTCAGAAGTTATTTACATAGTGTATTTCAAAAAGTCGTTCTACACTTTTAAAAAAAAAAGATCGTTCTACATTTTATCGTATATGGTAAATTTCTCAGGAGCAGTATGAGATAGACCGCTGAATTTTTGAGTGCTTATGTAACTTTTAGAACTACATCTTCGGTAATAATTTGAGCGAAAATAACTAAGCCATTCAGGACTTATTTACAATGTACTTTTCAAAAAATCGTTCTACAAAGGTAGTGAAACTCGAATTTTTAGAAAATAATGGATTTTTTTTCATCCAAAAAATAACTTATTTAGAAGAGTCTTTGTCTATCATTTTGTAACTATTTCAGTTGTCTTGCTTTCGCCTATCTTCACTTCTCTCCTACTTACACACAGACGAAGTAAATTGAACGATAAGGTCGTTCTACACAAAAATAACAATGTGTGTGTAATTAAGTTATTTGGGGT